CTGCTGCTGCTGCTGCTGTTGTACTGACCGTGGCGCAGCGTTTTGAGGACCTCCGTATACGTATTCTTGTGGTTGTTGCGAATAGTGAATAGTCTGCTGTGGTCCTAACGGCGGAGGTCCAGGAGGTGGCGGAGGCGGTACAAAACCAGGAGGCATGTACTGTTGTGATGTCTGAGCTTGTGGGTTCCCATATGTACTATATTGGTGCGGTGCGAACGATGTCTGTGAAGGCGGAGGCGAAGCAGGGCCTCTACTTCCGACACCAAGCCCAAAGGTGGTCTGGTTTGGTGGTGGTGACGCTGGGCCAGGATTTCGGCCCCAAGCGCTGGGATTGTACGCGGCCTGGCCAAATTGTTGACTATTATGTTGCGGATTAGGAGTGAATGATTGTTGTGGCGTGGGTGCGTATGTGGTATTTGCTGGAGGGTTAGAAAACCCTGGATAATTGACTTGGTTTGGCGGCGGAGAAGCTGGCATTTGATATTGGCCAGAGGCGCTGGTCGTTTGTGGATAACGCGGAGCGTTTGAAAAAGAGAGCGGCGTCGGGGCAGGTCGGTTCGAGCCCGGGTTCGGTGACGGAGTTGTGCTAGGATCCATAGACATACGTTCCATCAGACCACGGAGCCTTTCCCGCTCTGATTCAGCTTGCGTGCTCTTGTTCGCGGCTATCTCTTGCTCGATCTGGCTAAGTAGTTGAGCGCCCTCCGATCTCCTGTTGTTAACAAAAGTCTCAACGTTCTTCTCGAGGCTATCAACCGTTTCTTTCATCTCCGTATACCAGTTCTTAGCACTCTGTAAGCCGGATTCCAAGTCGAGAAATTCTTGATATGCTCTCTTATACTTGCTGACTACCATATTCCTTTGTCGTTGTATGGCCTCATACTTGCTGCGTTCCGAGCGTACGCGCTTGTCCTGTAGAAGCTGGCCGAAGGATGCCTGCAATTCCTTCAGTAGAGAAGCTTGCTTATGGTTGGCTTGCAGGATACGGTTTTGGTGAGGGCGGAACTTCTCTAGTTCGGACTGAAATAATTCTTTCTCGAAGTTCGGGATCGACTTCTTGTTTAGAATCAGGATTTGTGAGATATCGTCGTTGTGAACCTGTACTTCGTTAGCCTATTAATATGGACGCTCCTGGGCTTTACATATATACCTTTTCTTTGAGGTCTTTTAGGACTTGATTCCGTTCCCTCTGAACTAAGTTCAGCCTTTTAAGGATGTCCTCAACTCTCGCTATCTGCTCCGCGACACTAGGGCTACCATCGTCAAAATCGGCATCCAACAAGTTCGCTTCGCTACTAGCTGGGCTTGTCGCGCCGCTAGACTTTGATCTAACTCTATTGACGGCCGTTTGGAACAGCGCATCAACTTCGCCCGTTTGCGCAGCATTCCGCATCTCCTCAAAAGCCACTTCATTTTGACGAAATTTGGTGTAGAGTTGACCATCACTCTTCGCTGCCTCATCTAAAGCTTCTCTATAACTTCGGATATTTCCTCGTAGAGTAGTCGTAAGCCGTGAGCTTGGCTGCTGCGTCCATTCGCTCTCGTACTTTGATCTCATTTTCTCGCAAACGCTCTCTTCCATATCAAGCTGCTTCGAACATCTATCCAGCACAGTCACGATTGCGTCCTTGTCTATCCGTAGCGTATCGAATATCGAAACCGGATTCTCATGGCCCGCAACATCATCGCACCAAGTTTGGAAGTCCCCATCTGGTCGGATCTCTTGATCAACGCCCCCTTTCAGTACCTTTAAAGACATTGGTAACTTCAAATAATCCAAACTGGTGGTCATTTCACTGTTAGCCAGGTCAACCCTCTCGGCCTCTGCGCGAATTAATTTCGCCTTTTCTTCGTCATATAAGCTTGCTGATTCGGTGACCGTGAATGGAACAATCTTCGCGAACAAATCTGGACCAGTTATGCGCTGAATATCCTGACCCGAATATAATTCGTTTACGGGTATTGGCTTCGCTGCAGGGAGTTTTGGGACCGGGACCAAGCTGGCCTCCGCCGGCACAGTCTGGTGGTAGATGTAGTCGTTGTCCTTTATCAATTCCTTCAATTTCTCCTGAATGGTGGTGAGGTTCCGTTTTGTGATTTCCGTTAATAAAACACCCGTGTCTGCACTCAAGTTCGAACTGGGTGGCATGGTGTTAGGGAAATTATTTGCCATTCTACTAGCTTCCTTCGCCTGGATTTCCGCCGCCGTAAGCCTCGCGACGGCGACACCATAAGAATTGGCATCTTCATCAGCAAGCGCTTGATAGTATTGAGAATTTGAGCTCATCAAGCTAGCTTTTATCTGGATACGAGTAAGTCAATGATTTTCATTTCGGGCCGCAGAATGACCTACCTGAGTAAAGAGGAGCCAGACCTTCTCGAAGATGGCCTTATTGACATTTTCCTGGACTCCTTCAAGGGCTTGCTGGTACAGGTAGGCTGCTTGGCTAGATAACTTTGCCAGCAGACCTACCTTCTTCTGGTCTGCAACCTGTTTCTCCAGAAATATCTCCTGGGCCTGCGCGAGCATGATCTGAATTAGAGTCTTAACAGTATCTCTGCTCAAGTCGGATGAAGGTGCATGTAAGAAGTTTTCGTTTATATAAGTAAACATGCCAGCAGAGGCTTGGAAGGAATGATAAGCGGTTTTCAGACCAGCCTCTTCGGAGCGGGTTTGGTTAGCGGCGTGGCAAGACAGAACAGCGGATATGTTGAATATTATCGAAGCTTTCTCAAAGGCGAGGGAGTACTGAGATGTCGACTTATGGGTAAATGCATCGAACCTATTATACTCAAGTCAGAATTAATACAGTACCAACACTCGACCTCTGCGGGAATAGCCATACCAGGTGAAAGAGATCTTGATATGCTGCTCATCTACAGGAAAGCGAAGATCTAGCAGCTCGAGCTGGCCGTAGTATCGATATAATAAATCCCTCCCGGATGTGCTATCCTTGCCGGCACCCCTCATGTCCTGGCGGAGGCGGTTGAGCGTCGCGCATTCTTCTGCATATCTTTCGGGGTCGTCTCCATAAGTATCTCTAATGTAGGTCTTAAGCGGGGTGATCCAATCGATTTCGTTGGTAGCCTTTAGAGGCACCGAGATCATGGGAGTTTGTGTCATGGCGGAAGATGCAAATTGCAGTAGGAGAATTCGGCGCAACAAATTCACTCTAATATTTCCTAGGCCCGTCTATCATAAGGAACGGCGGCTTCGTAGGGGAGTCTATCGTCGTATGTACGAACACAAAGAAATGTGATGTTGGCGTGATTTGATGCTGTATCAACGATGGACACTAGATCAGGTTATGAATTGTGCGTCGTGAATTTTGTCACCACTTCTAAGACACAACACTCGCTTCAAGTTAGTTCTTTGAAGGCAGGGTTGTACCAGGGATCGGTGTGTCTTCCAACATGCTGTCGTCCGAAAAGCAAAGTTGCAGAAGGCTGAATCGGACGAGGTGGGAGAGAGTGTATAGTGTATAATGTATGTAGCCTAATGAGTTCTATTGCGACGAGACAGTCAAGTCGAGTAAGATCAAGTGAAAGTTAGTTCACTAAGATGACGCACAAATAAGGTGACACGCGGCGCGTTGATGGATGCAGTGAGACACATGAAAGTGGCCATGCAAACGGAGGTTCGGGCTGGTAACGACAAGGACGTTTTGAAGTGTTCTGGGCAGGCGTCTATGGGAGTAGCCGCCGTAGGTTCAATCTTTAAGGCTTAAATCTACTATGTATGTAGGTATGTATCTACAGTGGGGTCCGGCTAGAAAGGTAAGGTTTGGGTGGCAGATGCTAGGGCAGGCAGTTCCAATGGGACAGCTTATCCTAAAAGGTACCGCAATACCTACCTAGGTACGGTGGGGTTTTGGTGCGGAGAACGAGATGGTAGGGCACTGTTAATCGTCAGCAGCGACTGCCCTGTAATAAAATCTGCGTACCTATCTGCAAAACATGTATGTACAATACCAGGTACCATACCGAATCTCACCGATGCTCTAATTTACCTAATTCACTTAATGTTGGGCAATCTAGGCCCTATATCCCGTACCTCTATGATAGTTTACGTGATGTGTAACATGGCGCTTAACATACGAGACGCCTCTTAATGGCTTATACATAATAAGCTTACCTATAATCCTACATATGTAGGTAGGTATGTATGTATGTACATGTACCTAATAGTCATGTTGTGCCACCAAAGAGGTACTTGAATCCTTCACCTTAAGGACGCCAAGGTTACATTGAATTACTGGCATTTTCCAAATATGTTCTACCCCTCTTATAAAACACAAAACCACCAACCTTATAATATATCTCCCGATTCATATCATGCAAGCTCCTTTTCTTTTCTTTTATTTCCTAGATACAATCAATAATATCATATAAAATAGCATCAAATTCGGGTTTCCAGACAGTAGTATACAGGTAGTGAGCACACTTATGCAGGTGACAAGGCCATCAACACGGCAAAGAACCCCTCTATCGTACGTCATTGGCTACAGCCTACAATCCTCTTCCGCTCCAAATGTGCCATGATTGGTCCTTCAGGCGGTTAGCTTCGAGACTCGGAGAGAGAAGCAAGGGATGTAGGCGCTTAGCGGGCCGCCGCTGCGACCTTAAACTCAATAAGGTTGCTTTCTCCTCGCGGCTCACCCTGCCGAGGCCGCTCCTGCGACCGCCTGTAAGATCAATTTCGTACATACATTATCAACGCCCCATACCTTACTTACATACATCGCCCATTACATACATGAGGAATGTCCCCGTAGAGAAATTTGGTGGAACTTGGCATAGTCGAATGATATACCTTAATCATCTATCCCAAGTCTAGTTCATCGTATATCTCAAATTGAGGAGAGTGACCTCGCACTATATGACGTTCCTTGAAGCCCCCATGCGTAATATACAAGCTGAATACATCCCATTTTGGGTACCAAGGTGCGCAAGGCTGCTCTCGCCAGTGAGTCGCTTCCGCGGGCGATGCCCGAATATCACCGACCCAGCCTCAACACCGTCCATGCAGTTCCAATCTCTATTTCTAAAATTCTGGTGCTTTATTTAATCACCTATCTCCCGAGGCGTAAGTATGGTACATGCTGTAAGAGGATACATGTCACCCAGTCGCCCAGAGACAATACCCAGGAGGTATAGTATAAGCCTAACTCGAACCCGAATCGGATTTTTTCTTCGGATCTTCGTCAGGTTTATTCTGACCATGCCCTTGGTCCTCTGGCCTTTGATGGGCTGGGTGGTTTGTCAAGTTATGCCATATAGATTTTAGAAATCCTTCGTTTTGATGTGACGCGGGGTCGTCATTTTTCGTTGCTTCTCCTGGGGTCCCAGATCTGTAAATCCCTTGGGTTAGATACGCTCATGTATGAGAAGATATTGGCTGATTACTTACCCCGGCATCCTAACATTCATTATCCGTTTAGCTGTCTTGTCACCCATCTCATCTGCCAACATCTCCAGAATTGTCCTCTGGTTGGCTGAGAGATACTTCGGCATAGCTACTCGGTATTCAACTTTCAAGTCTCCCGTTGCGTTGCTACGCCGAGCACCTAGCTTCTTCATACCTAACTTAGGCAGGGTTATCTTGTCACCGGTGTTCGTACCTGTCCCAACCTTTACATTGACTTGTCCATCCAGTGTCGGGACAGTCACCTCACCACCCAGCATCGCCGTGGTCAAGGGTATAGTTGCAGTATAGAGGATATCAGAACCTGATCGCTTGAACTTAGGATCCGACGCTACCCTGACGGAAACGTAGAGATCTCCTCGAGCCGTTCTAGGATTGGGTCCTGCTGCGTCGCCAGTGACAGGTGCATCTCCTTCGCCGTCTAATCGCAGCCTCATTCCATCTTCAATACCCGCTGGGATGTCTACGGTAATATTCTTGCTTTCCCTAACGGCTCCAGCCCCAGAACACGTCCGGCATTCTGATCCCCTAGGAGTTGACTGCCCAGTGCCTTTGCAAGCCCCACAAGTAGTCGCCACTTGGAACCCGGATAGGATGTGCACCTGTGTCCCTGTACCGCCGCAAGACGTGCAGTCTGACCGCTTGGCACCCGGCTTGAGACCACTTCCACTGCAGCTATGGCATTGCACAAGTGGATGTATCGTGACCGTCTTGCTGGTTCCTCTGGCCGCCTCCATGAATGATATGCTCGTTTGTATCTCGATATTTTCTCCCACGAGTATTTCTTGGGCGAACGGATTCTTTCCACCAGAACGGCCTCCCGCGCCAAAAGGCCCCCCTCGTCCACCAGTAAATGCGGAAAAGATATCATCGAAACCGAAGCCCGCACCGAAACCTCCTTGCCCCCCAAAACCCGTGAAAGGATTACCCGCACCCCCGAAAGGATCACCTCCCGGCTGGGGCCCACCATTAGGATCAAAGCCAGCGGCGCCAAATTGGTCGTACTGTTCCCTCTTCTTCGCATCGGACAGGATTTCGTACGCGGACTGGATCTCGCCAAATTTGTCTTTCGCCGACGGATCCTTATTTGTATCCGGGTGGAACTTCTTGGCTAACCCATAGTAAGCTTTTTTTATTTCCGCTGGCGAAGCAGATTTCCCAACGCCGAGGGTTTGATATGGGTCTTTGATAGAGAGAGAAGTAGGGCTAGCATGGAAGGGCTATATCGACTTTGTTAGTACAAGTATAACTCGAGTTTGAAAAAACTAACATACCCGTCTGCATAATACGGCTTCGCATCCAGGCTTCGTTATAATATTTGGTCTTTTTGATAGAGAACATATCGTGCTGACTTGCGCGCGCTTTCGTAAGTTACTTCGTAATCTCTGCCTTCGATATATATGAGCAGGGGAGAGTATGCGCGAGGGCAGCGCTGCCTTTGAGAATAGAGTCGAATTCATATTAAATACTCCTAGTCGCACGTCAAATTCTACCGGATTTCAAAACTCCTCATAATATCGTATTCATTCAGAGAGCTAATCGATCACGTTTTGCACATGTCGTAGAGGTAGAGAAGAAAGTGAAGATGATTAACATGCAACTTCGGAGCCGTTACAATGACGCTCGAACTTTTTTTTTTTGCGCTAAGATACGGCGCCGAGTAAACGGGAAGATTCTCGATCCTCCAATGACTCCACAGTTGGAAAGCCACAAAGGACAAGCCACAGTACGGACGTATCCCGGCATCTGTCCGGTCGATAATCCGTCAAGCGCACCTGGCAGCTAAACTACATACATCTATGAAATAGGTCTTACTCTATTCAAGGACAAAATAGCTATAGGAAAGCTATTAAATGTAAAAGCTCAAAAGGCGACTATTCATACTTCTAAACATTATTTTTATAAAATCTACCAAGCAGTTAATAAAGGGTTCCATGCTTATCGATATGCCCGTTATTTACGGGTAAATTACATAGGTAGTATGGGCTATTAATATCAATTAAACAACCTTTATTATTTATTACCCATGACAATTTGAATATATTACTGTTAAGCCTCATTGACATGGCTTTATTCAAGGCGAGATAACTAAACGTTCAAAGTTTTCTCCGTCCCTTACATATTCAAATTTGCAGGTACAACATACATACATACATACATATTACCCACCTGAGTATTCGAACTTCAATTCGGAGTTACGCCAGATGTGGTGCCACTTAAAGAAGCGCGGCCAATCTCAATTTAATTAGTAATAGGAAATGAGAGCGCGCGTCCAGGTCCCGCGTGAGGGGTTCGGTCCTACGCTATTGCAGAACCGCGAAACTCAAAAAAGTGGCAGCCAGGAACCAAAGAGGGCCAGGAACCAAAGAGGTACCCACAAAGCGGAAACAATAATAAGCATTTTATACGATAAGAAATATTTCGTACGAGAAGTAGATAACGGCTTCTACTTAATAACAATAATAATACAATCCCGAATTAGTATTTGACCTAATTGAATAGCAAAACCCTCCTTTATATACCTGTGAAGCCCTATCCTAGAGCCTCGGAGTGTCCCTTTATGCTACCCATTCATCATAGTCGTCAGCCCTTGTTCCTCCGTGAGAGTCCCACCCAAGCGCTAAAACTCCAGGATAATGCAAAAAAAAAATGCAAGAAACCCAAACGTATGCAAAGACTCACTACGAGCCTAGCGACACGATAATGATTATGATGCTGTATCTACAACAATAAAAGTAGCGCCCGAATCCAGAAGGGTAAACAATTCTCGCTCTCATAGGGTATATGCATCATGGTAATGGAGAAGAGTGTGGTAAATCTTTGTTCCTTTTAATCTTCCCAACGCCTGGATTCCTGACCTTGTGAACAAAGTCAACAATGACATCGGTTTCCTGTACGCCGAGGGCATTGAAATGTTTTCTCACGACCTTCGTAAGGTTTTCCTTACTCTGGCGTCGGTATTCTAATTTTCGTGCCATGGTAGGCGATCGCAAGCCGATTCCTGGTCGCGAAAGCACCCAGTGATGGTACGGGTTGGCAAAAGCGGTCGGGGTGTGGAGGAGGTATTTGCGACGGTAGTCGTGGAGGACATCTCGTTCAAAGGACGGCCATTGCAACTATAATGAGAAACAATTGTAAGTTAACTTGGAAGAGTAGCATAGAATAGTTGGATTGGCATTTACCCCTGGAGTGTGGTTTGGTTGTGACGCAGAAGCTGGTGCAGTCGAGGAGCTACCGTTGACAGCTGTTACGTCTCGCAATTGTGAGCCCGTGGAACTGCCAACACGTCGAAGTTTTCCATTCGATTGATTATGATTAGATCCGTGGCCGTTCCGATCTTTGACGCTCGCCGTCTCCGACTTTGCGTCGTCGTGGTTCGCTTTTGACTTAGCCGGCGGCATTTGGAAAGATTGTGATTAAAGAACGAAAGAAGGCAACGAGGCTATGGTCGAACTCAGAAGTATCATTACTAGGGTTGCCGATGCGCGCGAGGAGAAGACAGTAGGATAAAAATGACCAAGCCAGAAGAAGAATTGAAATTGGATCGCCTCGTTTTGGCGCATTGGTGTGGGAACAAAGCAGAGAGAGAGAGAGAGAGAGAGAGAGAGAGAGAGAGGAGGAGACAGAGGCAGCAGACCACTTCTGTAGACCGCCCACATTATTACATGGTCATAATTTTTTAGGGATCAATCCCATGTCATTTCTTCGTTTCCAGGTCAGCTAACGTGGTCAGCCACCAATGACGACAGTGGAACTAAATCGAGCCACCTACCGAACATCGGACCCTGCATTTGGAAAGCCGTAAAGTGGAGAAGATGAGACGGGAGATCTGTGGGGTGGCCAATGCGTTAAACTTTAAAGGGCAATTGTCAATTTCAATCAATAAACTTTATATTCTATAGTTACCTACCTACCTACCTATTCTACATACCTTACTATTCCAGTATTCTCCTTTCTTCTACTTACATGTAAATGCTTCTACTACCAAGACGGCCTTGTAAACCCAACATCACTTCGACAGTATCATCAGCATCTAATTACAAGACAATAAGCATAGCCTACCCCGTTCAAAATGTTTACAGGTATGCATGTCATAAGCTGTTTAGCAGTCAGTGAAGGGAAATTCAGTTGAAATTTCTAACATTACTAGGCAAATTGCGGGATAGCGGTTGAGGCTATGAAGGCTACCTGTTAGGAGGTAATCTGCTAAAGAGACGATTGCTTCAAGTCAGTGTCTCATTGTTACCACGTGCTTGCGGTCTGAGAATCAAAGTTGCACCATGCTAAAATATATGTTGTGTACAGCCACGTGGGCTAAGTTTCCCTTTGAAGTCGATTTAAAGAGGATGACGTCGTCAGATACTGCAATATGCATGGTTACCTTATATATTATATATTAGATATATATTGCAGGTCAGACGAATTCAGCCATCCCCCACGGCTACGAGGTGATTAACGCGTCGATCTAAAAGGCCTCGCAACCATGAGCTTGGACACGAACGCCACCAGGATAAACGGTATGCGAAAATCCTGAGATCGGAAACGACACATCGATATTTTATCTATCACTTTACGCATAGTGGTGTCGATTAGCGCATGCATGTCATCGCAATGCCGAAAGGCTATCGAATTCGTGGCTTTTGACGTGCAGAATTGGATCACGCCCCGTTTCAATGACATCCATCAAGCGCTGTGCCACCAGGTACCAACAAGGCTAGGCGTGGCTTGGTGTTATCTATCGGCATGCGCCTATGTGCTGGTAAACTCAGTAGATCATCACCAGAGCCACAGACAGATAGGACAGATAGCGGCCTCACATTTCTAAGTCGATTAACTAAGGAAGTTCGAGTAACTACAGAAGCAATCTAAGGCTGTTAGCAATGCTTCTGCCAGTGGAAATACCCACTCGTCGAATATACCTTTAGCTTTAACGGCTTCAACCAAAATCAGGTAGCTACGAGTTATAGTTATCATATCATCTCAAGTCTAACATTCGTTAGGTGTATAGAATCGGTAATTCCACGATACATAGTAGCAGAAGATGCTGCTCAAATGCAGAGTTCTCAATCGTTTTATAGAGGGAAATCCTCATATAGGAGAAGGACTTAGGTGAAGAAAGAGTCTCGGCGGGCTGTTGAGTGATGACAGATCTCCAAAAAAAAAAAAAAAAATCATAGGGCAGTACCTATAATCATCTGCATGGTTTTGAACCACTATCCATTGCCAAAGGGTCACTTCCCGCCTCCCATTCTTAAGAATTAGTTTATGTGCCCGGAGTTTGGCCTAACATCATCTACTTTCGTCTGCCCGCAGAAGTTTCAGAGTAACATCAACAATCTACCTAATAAGTAGGCCCTTAGGGGCGCCTGCAAGATCTAAGTGCATGATAGTGGCGGAGTTCGCATGGTATGCGCTTCTCGGCCCACCAGCTCCGCGAATGGTTAGTTGGCACGGCCGACCGGAGTTTGTTCAGGGTATCCACGGCGCTATTCGGCGATGAGTTCGGCAGGACGTTTGGGTAAAATATATGCGTGTGTATATTAACGACGTTCGCATGTGACGCTCAGCTGTAGCGGTCTTGTTACCGTTGTAGGAAGTTCCTTGCCGGATCTTTTCATGGACAAGCTTACACTAGTAGTTCCCGGAAAGTTATCAAGCCGTCGGCAGGATTCATAGCTAAGGACCCCCAGCTTCGAATTGCTACTACTCAACTTCCTAGCTCATACGAACTACTACACTATTTGCATTTAGTATACACTTACATACTAGTTAACATTTGTGAAGAATGGGTTCTACCCCAGAGAGGAGCCTATATAGAAAAGATTTACCATAATCAGGAAGGCTATAGGGGCCGATCGCTACTAGCCTCTACCTACTTAAGCATAGTGTCGCCGGGGTATACCAGCAAGCTGACATTGCTATACCTTGCACATGGTTCAGCGGCCCGTTGCGGTCTCGTCCGTGCTGGCAAGATGGTAATATCGAAATTATTTCGACATGCATGGGTCTTTGCACCGAAAGAAGAGCTTGAAACGAATAACTCTTATTTTCCCTAGTTAGAGTATAGTATCGATTTTAGTACGATCAGTTACACATATCCAAGATGACGTGCCCATCTAGCTTCAACTAGTTGCTAGCATCACAGCTGCAAGGACGAGTCGCTATCTAGGCCATAGATGGACTAGCCATATATCCATCCCCTCACAGACCTCTCCAACTTCTTCCATGGGGTACCGATGGGCTACTAAAACACAGGGGATGCCAATGTAACAGCCGCAGGCATTTTCGTTCATCAGCTCGGAATCGCATCTTTCGCGAGAGTTGTCATTTCCGAGCAGTAGCAGTCACATCACGGCGCATTCGGAAATAAGGACAGTACCTAGTTTACTACGCTTGTGGTATGGTATGGTATGGTATGGTATGGTGCTGTTTCTAAGAATAGGGTCAAAGCTCGGCCGAACGGGGAGCCGCTTCGCGTTACAATACTACCTACGTGATGCGCAACGTTGTAACTTGGCCTGTGTACGGGGTGCCGAAAACGACCATTTCTACCATGCGCTTTTGGTTTGTAGGGACTCGGTAGTATATACCTACCTGATAGATACCAAAGATATATGGCTTGGAGGTAGCTGGTTTTCCTTTCGACTGGCTGCGTAACCATGTAGAAACGTTGCGCGCAAAGAGTTTCCGTGTAGGAAACGGGAACTCAACATACGTCGCATGAAGAAGATGGGGTTTGGTAGGGAGATAACCATTGAAATCGACGTCGCTTCGTGCCTACCTATCTATAGTCTATCTGCTACTATCGGGTATAATGGCCGAAATGGCAAGTCGTAAACTCATCGCGGTGCTCGTGAAGCTATCATGTACACACATACATGCGCAAGAGCAAAAGGGAGGTAGCCCTATGTCGCACCACCCGCCTCGATCTTCTGTAGCAAGTCGTCCGTAAGTCCCGCAACCAGCGCCGGATCATCCTTCTGTATGAAATGGCCACACCCCGTCGCTATTAGCGGACCGCGCGCCCTGTCCGCGCTCGTCAGGCGCGCGAGCCCCCCGTTGTAGTCGGCCCAGGGCGGGTTCATGTACGCGTTCGTCAGACCCTTGGGCACGTTCATGGACCCTCGCAAGCCCTCCTCGGCAAAGGTCTCCCAGTCATGCCCTACCACCGTGATCCACGGCCCCGGCTTTTCGTCGGGCCCCTGCAGCGGCGGCGCGTCGGAAAGCGGCAGCAGCGACGCGATGTTGCGCCGGTCCAGATGCTCCGGGTTTGGCGCCGACGGCTGGAAGTGCGCGGCGTAGCCGGCGCGCGTGCGGCGCAGGTCTGCGACCGTCGAGTCCGGGGGGAGTATGGCCGGGTTGAAGCCTGGCGCGTCGGGGTCCGGGAAGAGGGACACTAGGTCGCTGTTGGCGATGTTGCTGTCGAGGAATAGCAGTGCCGCCGTAGAGCCCGGATACGTCTTGGCGTAGAAACGACCAATGACGCAGCCGATGCTGTTGGCGACGAAGATCAACTTGGGCACTTGGACCGCGCCATCTCCATTCGAGATATCTTTTCTTATCTTGGCGCGCCATATCTCTTGCGCCAAGACGTGCAGGTCCGCGACGACCTCGCACATGTCATGGCTCCCGCCGTGCTGGTCGTCGGCAGGATCGCGCGCGGACTCGCCCTGGCCGTAGCGGTCGTAGGTAAGTAGCGGCGGGTGATTAGTGCTGCGGCTTCCTTTGTTCCATCGTCGTTGAAGATGCTGTATGGTTGCACGCCAGCCAGACTGGGGGGCGATGAGTCCGTTGAGGTAGACGACGAGATGCGTGGTTGACAAGGGGCCCTGTCCCGGCACGAACTGGTAAGACAGCGGGGCATCGGGTTTGTGGGGGAGACAGATTGTCTCGGACATTTTCCCGGTTTCCGATTTCCGATTTTCGATTGCGTAGGTCGTTGTGATGTTATGTACTTGTTTGGTTGTTGGGTGGTGTGTTATAATAGATAGCTGACGTTTTAATATAGGTGCGGCGGCGTTAGGAATAAGTAATATATTATTATATATTATATAAGGACGTATAAGGTAGGTAGGTAGGTAGGTAGGTAGGTAATTAGGACATGCCGACTGAGGTTTGTAATTCTCCCCTTTCTTGAACATATGATGAATATGACAGATGATAGCAGTTGGCTGATGCGTAAAGTTTGTTTGTGACCTATAAGAGAGTTTCGTGTCACTGAGTTCATTGGTAGTTATTAGTTATTAGTTATTGGTTGTTAGTTATTGGCAGTCATTAGCAGGCAGCCATTACTGCCGTGTAAGTCAGACAAGGTACCTGGTTAGGTACATCTCATAAGGCTCAGATGAAGGTTGAATTACACATCGCATCATATGAGAAAGTCCTCAGCTGCGCTTACGAAATGACGTCGTTTACACTTCTAAATCTTTGTTTGCTCACCTGCTCACCTGCTCACCAAGTGGGACATACTAAACATATGCCGCTCTCACGGCGTATTAAATGCTAGTAAATATCGTAGTTATCTACCATCAGCTATCTCGAGTTCCTGATTGGTGGTGACGGCGTTTACTATGTTATCCATTTAATATAATTTGATTTGTTGTCACCTAGGGGAGTCCTTGCAATACACAATAAACCCAATCACATCTCATTCACTTGAGTTAATAGTCAACGTAGTATAAGTCACCATTGTAAGTCACCATTATAAGTCACTATTATTATACAATTTAGAACCATCGCATTAGCTCAAGTTTCATACATGTGCTGAAAATATGTTCTTCTCAAGTAGTGGTCAAGATGTCGGCGTCCTCCGAAGTACATGTACGGGACCGACTTATACGTTGTTGGTGACAACTTAAAAAAAAAAAAAAAAGCAGGACACATACATATGGACATGTACATTGTCATAGAAGCGATGTAATGCATGTTACGTTGAATTCATCCGAGTGGACTCGATAATCTCCACCATATCTGCGAAAACAGATGCAAGGGGCAGCTATGTACATACGTGATAGAAGAAGCTAAGAACTCGTAAATACTACGGTGGTATCAATGAGAAGAGAGGCCTGGCCATTAAAGAGTGGTCGCCTTAATTGCGCGAGCATACATACATAATACCACTATGTAAGAGGGTCTTGACCATGTTGGCATGTGAAACCTGTCAAGGTGAGGACGATAGGATAAGACATGTCTAACCCCTGAACGGAGGGACCCAAGCAAGCAGGTAAGGTAGTCTTGGGTGGGAACAATCGGTGGGGAACCAACTACACATGTTAGTCGGATGGCTCCATTGAAGGATCCTCGTCTACCAGTACGAGTACAACTCTACAAGGTGAACAAACTCTCCGTGGTCTGTTTTGGTTATTGGTACCTATCATTCGGTTAGGTACGAGTCTACGAGATGATCCAAGACATCAGGGTCTTGGGAACCGAATTTTGGAAGGTTGTTGTCGATCTACTCCATCGTACCCCCAATGACACCATCGCATAACCTACCAGGCTGCCAGGGCTCATGTTACTCAGGGGACCAATTCGCGTTGAGCCTCATAGGCGCACGTGAGCCATAACTGTAAGGTATGTAGGTTGCGTCCAATGTCGGGCAAAATACAGAAGAACCTTGGAAGTGGAGGGTTGGTGATACATACAGTACCTGACGCCAAGCGAATATTACCGCGAGGGTTAGCAAACTCGCCAATGTTTGACGTCTTCGAGAAGCTTGCTTGCTTGCTAAATTTCTAAACAGTACCAAATGTAAAAATAACGCCTGCGTTTGCTAGGACCACGCTGAATCTTTCCGGCTCATGCTCTTCGATACCGAGGATGTGGACGGCGGTAATGGTAGCAATATCTCAGCCGCATCGCTCAGCAGGTAGGCAAACATATGTATGTAATATTAATATAGAGTTGTCTGGCGCCTTGAAATCCTACGAGGCTATTTTATAATTGAGTGATGGCGAGCTGGATAAGAAGTACATAGGTTTTGTAGAATCTGCCTCGTCGAATACCTCCCCCCTGATACCGAGCAACTTTCTCCAGGCTTCCGGGCCGCATTAGGTACATACCTACATATACTCTGCCTTATCCCAGCTGCCTGGAAGTCTTCTGTATGTACATACAACATCAGCCCCGATGCCAAGACGAGGTGATGTACCTAGGCTAGCTCGCACGTACATACGCACTATTTAGGTCTCAGCTGCATGTCCGGGGTGAAAGTCTCCCCCCCACTGACCAGGTGGGATGAAAATGGGGATTTGAAAATTGGGTTTGGGACTATTGTCCCGTCTACAATGGCCATGTACTTTTGTCTTCTCTCTTATCTCTTTCTACGTGTCCTTGTTGATGAGGATTAAAGAGGTATCGTTAATGCTAGGAATATAGGCAATCTCCCAACGAGAACCACCATTTCACCTTCTTAAGACGTAGTATACCTAGGTATACCATGACGTAGAGCATTCGTATATGATGCGAATAGGCAATCTAGGTTCGATCCTTTATCAATGCGTGATGCATGTCTCATATTTCTACAGCGTAACGTGGGCAGGCTTGGGTGGCCTTGGATCGCCGTGGGAGGGATGAGCTCAGGGAAGAGACCTAATGTGTACGGTGTACGGTAAGGTATGTAGCCAGTCAGCAAAGAAACCTTCCTTCGCGATAGGCCGAGGTGCTTGATTCGTCCGAAGGGCACAGGATTCGGTGGAGACGCATTTGCCGATGGTGGGTTGACTCAGATCCATCGCGAAGCCTTTCCGCCCTATGTATGTATATCTTGTTGTATGTATCTTGTTGTATGTATCTTGTTGTATGTATCTTGTTGTATGTATCTTGTCAGCCAGTCTTTATGCATCTATCATCTATCCTCAGGTACACGCAACTCATTTCCAGTCTCCTGGAATCAACAAGGTATCAATTGCCTGTCAATTGCCTGTCAATTGTTTAGATGCTTACCTCCCCGGACTCTATTATGGAGAATTGATATATGTATAAATTAAAAAAGCCATCAACAATCCTTGGGATTGTCAGTCTATTGGTCGAGTTTGGCCGAGGTAGAGTCCGTTCATCCCGCTCTTTTACCCCAACCCGAACAAACTGCTGGGTTGGTAATAGGAGATTGCCGGAGAGTACATACTGTTGAAGTAGGTGACACTGTGATCTGAAGATCGTTCCGTTAGACTTGAGCGATTTCGATTGCTAGGTCTAGGTAGCTTTCCGCATGTACATCATAACTCCTAATGTTCCTAACGTCAATGCTATGTAGTGTATATGTATGGATGTCCTGGTACTACTACGTGGCAGTTCCGCATAGTGTATGTATAGGTAGTGTATGTAGCACCGCCTCAACGGCTGAATCCGGTACTGTGTAATCCGTACGGAATACTCTTTGAAGCTTGCGGAATTAAAGACCTTCTTTCGGGTTCTCAAACGTTAGTATCTAATAATTTGGAGTCTCGACGTCTCCTATCAAAGCTAGTGCGTCTCATTCGTCCTAGACATACTATATAGGTTGTGATAGTGATCGTAACAGGGGTCCTCTAAGACATTAGATTCGCAACCGAGAGGTCTTCACTGTGGATGCTAATAGTAGAGCTAATAGTAGAGTAGTAGGGAATGGTAAGGGAGCGCTAAGGTGCCGGCCAGTGGAACGTGTGCACCGCCCCTGTCAGTGTCGAACTGCTGGGGGTGATACTGGACGCACTATAACCCCCTAGGGTCCAATCAGAGGCTTGACAGGCGGTGACGCTAGACTTGGATATGTCTACGCGGGTATGGAGTACATAATAGTAGGCATGTCGAGTACCTAACTAACTTACATAGAGGTATGGAGTTTACATATCTAGGTAGATACCCTGATACCCTTGGTCCACGCAAGCCAGGGGTCCATGACCTACCATGTACTGGTCTGTTCTGCATTGGCCAAAGACGCCACTCGACCCTTGGTGGTCCCGTTATGCCCCGGGCAATCGATGATACTGTGGATGTAAGCTAGGTAGGTATGGCAGGTATCGCTGCAGACTCTAGCGAATTCGGGGGTCGCCAACTGGTATTGTTCAGCCTTCCCTGTGCCGCGGGGTGAACTTCTACATCTGATATCTCATTTTTTTTTTCCCTTTCCTGTCTCCTTTTCCTCTTTTCTCATCTCGCATTATGTGTCACCGTCTACGCCAAACGTTGTTGCGCAACCTTGATGTAAAACTACTGTGAAGGCCGAGTCGCGAGATATCCAGCTTGCCGGCTCGCTGCTCCACTCCCATACCTTCATCCTAGTTGCTAAATCTGGAGCTCCCCGACTCTCCACGACGATTAACATATATCGCCGTGTGCGTTGGACGGTATACGCTCTTAATTGTCTAACCTATACTATTAGCCCATCATGACGGACGAAGTCGAGCGGCTTGCGATCGCGCCTTTTAGGGAGATTGTAGAAAAGGGAAACGCAGCAATTGGAAATGTACCGAATGCCGACGAGGAAACGTCACCGCTTATGCTCAAGGCAGCACAAAACCTAGTTAGAGAAGGCGAACGGGCGCTGAAGCGGATCGAGCCGCTTTGCATTAAGAACTTTGAAGAGTATGGCGTTAACTTTGTTGATGCGATCAAGGAGAACGGTAAGATTTCTTCGTCTAGGAATTATAATAGACCCATGGAGAACTATAAGTTGACGAATCTATTCGTGCGCAATAGACGAAATCGCGCAGTTTCGATCCGAACTGGAGGATTTGTTATGGGATTTCGACGACTATGTTGAGCCCGACGACTTCGATCCCACCAAGTTCGATGAGTTACAAAAAGCCTCGAGAAGAGCTGCGCCGAAGATCGTGGATATCCTCAAGCGGATGAAACTGGTTGCCCCCGCACCAACATTGCGGTCTCCGTCCCCAAGGAGTAGGGCACCGTCGGCAACCCCTGACCACGTGAATAACTTACACTATGGGCAAATACCATCAACAAGTATTACCGTCAACCCTCCAGCGGCCATGTCGACAGAGAAACTGATGGAAGCGACAGAGCTGCAACTAAGAAGCATGATGGGAGCAGTGGCCGGCCCCGATGAAGGCCTGGAGGCGAATCTACCCCCGCGATCGGTAAGCGATCTCGACCGAAGAAGCAACTCGCACCGCTCCGAAGTGTCCGATGCCACCTCGGAACATCCGCCAAGACCGCCCTCGGCCGACCCGTGGCAGGTCGGAACGGCCCCGCCTGTCAGTCCCGTGGATCTTTCGGTAGAGGGAGACCGATGGGAACGTCGCCCTCCTGTCCCCAACGACTCCCCGACCATCCCTCCAGCACAACCGGTTAGTCCCCTCGGTAGCCACGCCGGCCCCCTGCGCATTCGTAGCAAAACCGACGACTCTCTCAGCCTGGCTCAAAGGGACGTCGAAGACAGCCGAATGCGTGCGGCTTCACAGAGCCAAGGGACGACTAGCGACGGATCTCAGTCTCCCAGGAAGAGGAATCGTTGGACTAACTCTACGCAGGGTTCAGCATACAGATCCCACAGCGGCTTTACGTCTGCTAGTCGATCACCTTCTAACGAGGGTTCTGCTAGTTGGCCTGGACTACTCCTTGACCCGTCGTCTAGCCGGTCACCTTCGGATACGTCTTCCGTGCTTGGTCGTACCCCTTCTATCCCCGAGAACATTGCTATTAACACCCAGGGCCCAAAGACCGCCCTCCCACCTATCCCCAGCTTCCCCCCGAGGCAGACTTCTCTCGCCAGGGCCCAGGAAAGAGCCCAGGAAAGAGCCCAAGAGAGAGCTCAGGAGAGGGGTCCTCGTCGTACCATTCGTCACCCGTCGACTGAGTCAATCAACAGCTCGGTTTTCGATATAGTCGATTGCATGAGCCCTACCACTGCTGCCGCTTCTACCGCACATCGAAATTCGGTCTTATCAGTCGAGCCTCTTAGTCCGGGGCAGCAACCGCCAGAGTATACCGGACTCCCGCCTATCTATCAACGCGCAGCGACGAACGGCAGCATATCCTCTAGTATGGGAACCATTACTAACCACTCATCGTCGACGCTCATGGCCCATCGTCCCGGCACCCAGGTTCCAGGTAACGTAGATTCGGGCCTGATCCCGGTTGACGCAGAACACCCGATGCCGGACGAGCAGCCCATCCCCGCGCGAGAACCGGACTGTTCGATAGGCCCGTATAGCTCTTTCTACAAGCTCAAAGGGTTTTGCAAAGGCGCAGAAGAGGTCATGGCCGGCCGGCTCGGCTTCAAGAAAATCAAACGGCCCGTTGGTGTAAGTCACGATATGGTTTGTATACGTCACATTGATCCCGCGTGCAGTATTGACAGAGGAGATAGGGCTTTTCGATGGCCGTTGTAGCAAAGTGCAATCACTGTTTATTCGAGATCGACTTTAAGTCGGTCGAGCAAGACTTAAATAACGACTGTAAGATTTATCTTCCCCATATTTACAGGTACCTATCTATGGATTCCGTCTCACATATTACCCAGCCTCCGGAAGTTTTACCTCTAATTCCATCGGGTTTCGACTGCGTATACTTCAAAAGAGCCATTTGCAAATTCGACATGTAGAGGAACAGCTCTACGGATGCTTATTCTGTATTCAGGAGGGCAAGACTGTCGAAGAGAGCGACGCTACGGTCTTCTTCAACCAGAGCCAATTATTCGCTCATCTGGCACGACATCCTCGCCCGCTCCCCGTCATCCCTGGCCTGACGGTAGTCGAAGCGCCGGAGATACCACCGTCCTTTAGAGATAATTTTGATCTTCACTTGCCACACCCGCCGACGCTCTCCGTCATGGTCGGACTCTCGCGAGAGCTCTCCAGACTGCCCTCTGCCATTGCGACGGAGACGAGGAAAATACAGAATGGGGTTATGCGCTCACCGCCTGGTAGAGATCCAGTCCTGCACTTTGCTATCGGAGCGAGGATAGTCGGTATTGAGTTCCCGGTCAAGTACGAAGGTAAATGGGGTATCGGCTGGCACGACGGTGTGCGTGCAGCATTCGAAGCCGACTCCGTCCAAATCGATGCGCCGCCGAAGACCGAGATCAAAATGCAGGGTACAAGTAACGTGCAAGCCGTGGCACGATGGAAGTGGAATCAGAAGAACGGTGATGACAGGTGGCTGAAATTCGACAAGGGAGACGTCATTAAGAATATTGGCTGTAAGTTCCTATCCATTTGTTTGTATTTTGGTGATAGCCGATATTCCTCAAGCCGCCTCGCAGCATATCCGAGTTTTGCAAACCAGAAACTAACACATTACTTTCACCAGGGGCCTACACCGATCACTGGTGCTGGTCCGGCACAACGTCAAAGGGCTGGGGAATCTTCCCGCAGTCCCACCTCGACCCAAGCTCGATCAGGACAGTCCAGCCTGGAGACACTGCTAGCATCAACAGCTGGGAGAAGAAGCCACGATTCCAACTTTCTCTTCGAAAAAACACGGACCGCAAATTTGGGTCTCTCGGCTCAGTCACTCCTACTAGCGAGACTCCTCCCGTCCCTAGCAGAGCGGGCGTCTACTAGTGCACGCTTATCTAACTTACCTCATTCCTCGAGTCATAATTACACTACTTGATCTCCCCACGCGGAGCCTTCTTACACTACCTAAGTAGTTAGTAGGAGAGCTGCTAGTTTCCCTTTAGTACGTATATATATATACCACACCAATACCAAGAGATGCGAAGCTAACGCCGAGGAGAATGAATAAGTGGGTGGGTCATAAGATCATCACGATGATACCGCGCGACTGCGATTTTATTTGTCTGGACACAAGAAAAAAAAAATACGATATAAACCGTTATCGACGGCGAAAATATTAATGATATGATACATGGTTGGCACGGTACGATTATTGATATATTACTTACTTACTCGCTCGACGTATACCCCTTTCTCTTTCGGCTTTTTTATTTTATTTTATTTTATTTTATATAAAAAACTGGTTTTCGACACGAGGGATGTGCTGTTCCTACACGGGGTGGGGATCTGGGATGGGTAGGCAGGTTGTGTGTTTTTTCTGGCCTTCGGAGGCGTATAGCGATATTACGAGTTGCTGATATATGTTTGGATAAGTCGAGTCGAGTGGAATACTGGACACTACCTTATCGAATTTTCGTTTTATTTTACTATTGTAATAACAATGGGATACACTACGAGGTTGCGGGTTCGCTTAGACTTGGGTCTGCATTGTCTGCATTCCGTAAGCGTCGATGCTGTCTCGCATGAGATTATTCAGATAGCTTATGCCCTCATTATTGTTTACCATTGTTTCATGCTACTTGAAGTACTATATACCCGTCTTGAGAATTCTGTATACGAGCAGCAAGCCAGGAGCGTTTAAGTCTATTTAGGCTTCGGGGCCTAGTTGTTTATAGATGGCCGTATAAGTCTAGCAAGGACTGATATATAGTAAATAATTACCGACTTTAGAATGTCCATAGAGCATTAAACGAACTTGATAAGTTACTATTTTGAGTTTCCAGGCTGCTAACATACCTATATAATAGAGATTCGTCTCGAGCCAAATGTTGGCCTAGTAGATCTCTTTAACTATAAGTGTATACGATTATTATCGACTACTTTACAATGAGGATAAAATACCCACTTCAATACCCTTGATCTGGAACTTCTGTGCGTTCCTGTCTAGCAACTGACGTCATTACTCGGGAGTATTTGAAGCACTTGGGTTAGATGATTCAGATTGGAGGAATAATATCTACCAAAGCTGACCAGCCGTGGAGAACAAGTGTTAACAGTTCAGTTCAATAAAAGGCTTGAGAATTTATAAGCTTTTGCTCAGCGAACTTCTACTTGCTGGCATATGAGCTTCTTAGAACCTTAGGGACCTTGTGTAATCTATGCTTTGTCTCGTAAACGTATCCAAGAGACATAATTTACGGCCTTACCTCTCTTTACTCAACTACCAGACCACCTGGCCGTCTCCTATCACAATGAGCTGGATGGATTCATGGTCGCGGCCCGGAAAGTCGCAAGCGACACCGGCGCCATACTACCTTCTTCCAGGAGGCGAGTCAACTCCCTACTGCCGCTCGTGCGGCCGAGTCATAAGCTCACGCCGCGCAAATACCGTAGCGGCGCATGATTCTAATAGCAACGTGCCGAGCTACTGCTCCCAGCGCTGCCGCAACACCAAACCCCGGAAACTGGATCGCGAGATCGAAGCTACGTTCGTGCGCATGCTCTCCGGCGGAAACGGTGACGGTGCTGGTCAAGTTCGGCAGGGTGGGAAGGAGAAAAAGCGCGTGGTTAAAGGCGACCCGCGCGTTATTGTCTCCTGTGATGAAGTAGAGAAGGCCATGTTCGGGGATCATGCGGACTCAGACAAGACATTCGGACGAAGAAAGAACCATGCTTCGAGAGTTCTCCCAGCGACCTCCTCCTCCGAGACGGAAGGAGATGGTACCGCTACCATAGGAGAAGCACTAGAGGACGGAGACAGCGCCGTAGACCTCGAGGACAACGAAGACGACTCATCGATAGACGGTGACGTCCTGGCGCGCATGGCAGTGCGAAGCGGGACCCGGATCCGACCGCCGCAGGCTGTGTCGCAAGTCAACGGCAGCGTAGGCGGAGAAAAGGGACGGGCGGAGCGGAGCGAGGAGACGGAAGAAAACGCGAAACGGAGGCTCGAAGGGCAGCGCAAAGCGCAGCAGCGCGAGATGGTCCGCAACGCCGCGCGCAGGGGCGTCGTCTTCGGGTTCGCTGCCGCAGCCCTGAGAAAGTGCGAGGCTGTCATGCAAGGGAAAGTCGTCGAGCCAAGTTTCGCGAAAGGCGACTGGGGAATAAGGTGGAGAGAGTGAGGGAAAAGAAGACTATCGTTTTGGCTAACTATGTACCTACCTCCTAGGTATCCCTTACTTGCCTCCCGTCCGTCCTAACCTAGGTAGTTGGCCACGTTCCGACGCGGTTCGCGTGCTATGGGGGGAGGCTGGGGTTCACGATGCCTAGGCCCCCTTACCCATTACTAGAATCGCGATGCTTGTCTTAATATATCCACCCAATGATCCCGAATTGAGATTGCGATCGACCCGTCTTATGCCTGCATGATGGGACAAATACATAGTAACTGTGTAACATAAGATACCTACCTAGGTAGTAAAATGCGAAACTACCAGAGACAGGTTTGGTATCAATGAAGTTGAGTTCCTGTGGTAAGGATGGAATTGGTAAGTGGTAGAACCAAACCTTTGGGTATATATTATACATACCTAGGTAGGTAGTTTCCTCTATACATACAAGTTCAGATGGGCCATTCCAGCTAGGGTAACTACTATTTATATGCTTCTTGGAATCCCCTCTTATTCCCGTATATATTTCGTATCCAAATACCTAACCTAGGTAGTTGATGAGACAGTATCAGAGCTTTAACATGCTTGTCGTAGAAGCATTATTAATCAAATCACCCAGGCTGAATCGGCCAACACGTGGTTGGCGCCATGGTTGGGGACCCTGCTAAATCAAAGCACAGACGGGAGATGCCACGTGTGATGCCTGTAGTGTACATAGTCAGTTTCGTTCCTAGTCAGTCGAAGGATTTCCTTTCAGGATAGAAATCAAACTGACGTAAGGGGAGATAAGTATGTACAGTACGAAAACACCATAGGAGCCGGGATTAGGAAAGAATAAAGAAAAGGGGTCTTCGGAAGAACGTGGGTCGCATGAACATGTTCTAGAAGGAATGTAAAAGTTCCGAATGCCCTGCAGCAAGGCTGTGCTAGCATAAACCTGGAGTATCGTGTAGCTCCTTTTCTACAAATTCTTATGAAACAAGGTCTCGTGTTCAAGACAGTGATTCTAGACTAGTTGGCCTTGGTATCTATCCTCTGATGCGCTATGAGAAATGATGGAACACAATTGTGGTTTACGCACGGATATTGTGTATATTGATCTATGTAGAGAGAGGGGATGGGGGCTAAACCATGTTAGACTCAACATGTATAAAGCGTTGTTGGGAGAATATGGAACATTCTATCCCCAGTGAGATTTTCGAGGAGTACTCAATCAACGTTGTAACCAGGGGTCTAATAACTATGAGGCTTGAGAAATTGATTCTTCGGTGCCTTCGGTGCCTTCTATTTTGTTTTTCAGATGCTCTTGTCTAGCCCGGAATACGCCGAAGGATATCTCAGCTACGCGCTTGATGACCGAGGCATAGAATCCGACACCGAATGCGTGTCTGACTTACGTCGAGTAAGCGCCCTTCCGCGGCACATCAAACACGTGGGCAGGGAGGTGTCTGACGAGAGAGGGAGTAGTATGCAGTGTCATCTGCAAGAGGTGAGAAGCTGGCGGTGACCAGTTGGAGACATACCCGGTGGAATTAACTAGCTGAAGAGGTTGATTATAGACCAGATCTCCGCTCACCAAGTCAGCGATGGCCAGAAGGCTTCTTGTGATTGGATATAGAAATGTGAGTCTTTTGAAAACTACTTCACCGCAGAGTAAAGAATGCAAAATAGCGTTGTCGTGTACGGAGGCCCCGCCATGGCTTGTGGCTCGGCCATTAAGAGTGTTGCTGCTGACACATAATATTATCGCTTTATAATAATGAAGGTATAATAGTAGGTTGTCATGTAGCAATGAGATGCAAGATAGGGGTATTCCGTATCGGTGTCCGTATCAGTGACAAAGCTTGAACAGACAGAACTTTAGCTGACGCATTATCGAGACTTCAGACTTTTTATCTGCATGTAGGTATACCTAACGTACGTAGGTAAATATATGCATATACCTGTTATTTCAAATATATAAGTAATATATCAGTGCTCCTTGAGCTATCTCTCGCATCTCGAGTTCTGACCGGTCATTTTATGTTATTTAGGTGCCTACTACCTATGTAAGCTAGGTCGTAGGGTAACAGTATGTAGGTAGCCGAGTTGCGAAATACGCAAGCTGTACATACCTAGGTACTATGTATGCAATTGCAACTAAATATGGTTAGAAAATGAAAGCACAACGATATGGTATGTACATATTGATTATCCCTGCTCGACGGTCGGTGCCGCTGACTGGTCCTCCCGTTTTATGAGCACTATCTACGTACCCGGCCGTTGCTCTAATTATAGAGCGGTGAATAACGCTTAAAATTTCATTAGCAAGGGACACCACTTATGACCACCTATGAGATGGCGAATGGAACCATACCGAGAAGTCAGATCAACAAGTTAAGATATTAGTTTCGTAAATGAGGTAGCCTACCTGCTTAGGTACCTAGGTACCTAGGTGTTTAACTACCCTTAAGCTTTTATTTTGCAGACCAAAACATATTAAACTGCTACACAAGTTGCCCCTGAGCACGTTGTTTAGATGCAGTCTTTAGGATGCAGTCTTTAGGATGCAGTTTTTAGGACGCACGAGGAGGAGCGAATAACCGGCTCGAATTGGATCGGGAAGCAGTGGCTGCCAATTGGCTCTGCGTGCATTGCAGCATATGTACAAGCATACAGTAGTGTTGAGTGCTTTCCCACAGGTTTTTCTGCAGGTAATAAAATAACACGGTATGGACCGATAACCGGGCCAATGGAATAGAAAAAAGATCGCCAGTCACGAAGAAGCATACTATGTACCAAGATGGCTTGTTTCCGATTCATTCCGTGTGCTTGACTCGACAATTCGTATCAATTGATCTCGATTGAACGATTATGATTGCCCTAAAAAAGAATGGATGGGGCCCCATGTGGTTTGCTTTGTTTAAGGTCGCAGGGTCGGCAGCTCGTGGAGATAGGGATGGCATAATCCCCGTTGGTCGGATTGGCCTATGGGGATTAAATGAAGCTCATGTGGGTCATTTTCGTAAGGCAACGAGTTTTTCGTACTCCTAAGGTTACTTAGACGTATCTCAAAACTTGCATAATGTATTAGTTAGTTAGTTATACCTTAGGTACCATACATCTTTACCTTCCCAGACCTATGTAAACTTGGATTATATAATACGAGTCCTCGCGCAGGTGCGTCTTCAATAGTGCCATTTACATGCTTGTTACGTTCCAAAAACACGTCGAGTCGAGACATTACATGTATGTAGGGGTAGCATGTACCAGAATACGTATTTCCAAGTATGTGCGCACATCAACTCAACGTAAGGTATTATCGCAATTATGCGGCATAACCCGACGCTACGGGCACTGGACGGGCATGAGCGAAAAAGGCATGCACAACTTCAATTAAAAAAGCAGTGTTGGTACTGTTGGTACCTACCTATTGAACCTAGGTACTATACATATATGTGTGCTTATCTAAGCATACAGGTTTAATACAGGTATAATACAGGTGTAATACAGGTATGGTACCTACCTCAATATCGATTGGAAGCCCCTTGCTCCAGGTCGACAGGCACAGCTTTAAAACAGGCGTGGGCTGCAAGGGTTGCAAGGGTCTATAACAATGGTACCAAATGCAACTAAATTCATACCAAATCCATACCGCCAATCACCTGACGAAACTACCCGTTAGCTTTCAATGAACCATTAAAATGTTCAGCCCTTTGGGGCTCTGGAGACTTTGGAGAATTTGAGAGGGGAACCCTAGATGCAAGTTGAAGAACGGTGAAGAGGCCCTATCCGCCGTGACCCTGCACAAGTGGAAATTCGAGAAGCATGATTGATTAATATTTGGTTTCTTTATTCCGTGTTTTCTTTTTCTTTTTCCCTGCAAGAGAGTCACATCGTGAGTCTTGCTTGTGTCAAATCCGTCCCTGTCAACATCAACGTCAACGTCAACATCAATTGATTACCGTGACCGCCGGCATTTTCCCACCGTCTTTCTCCTCATCCCCAATCCATTTTAGAACAATTCGTTCCCCCAAACTTAAGAAACTCGTCAAAAATCCATTGAGAATCGGCACCATTGTTACCGCTGTTCACTTACAAGGCGATTGGAATTGTGTGTCTATTTGTGTGCTAATCATAATTGAAAATTGTAAGTAAATACAACCTGTTTTATATACGTTATTCTATATCATCGTCAGTCAATTCTACCAGCTTCAACGTTCCCTCCCCCCCCTTCTGCTTATTAGTCGTATGTGTGTGTATACGTATATACATATATACCGATTTCAATTACCTGCCCGATTACTACATTGTATTATCCCGCTATGACATTGCAAGGCTAAGCCAGTTTTTTTTTCCTCCCTCAATTATTTCTTTACCTTACCATCTCAACCTTCAGCCATCTTGCCAGACTTGAAGATCACCATCGCATTTGTGTGCACTGCAATTCTTTTCGCGACCCCCAGGACTCGCATCCGTCCCGTCCCGTTCTTGAGACTATTATATTTTATATTGTACGCCACCCGTTTATGGATTTCCTCATTACGTCGTTACACGGAAAGTCAAGCGACGAAGACGGCATCAGAACTCCAGCTTTATGATACGTAAAGGTAGAGGTTCTGGCGATAGTCTGGTATGTAATCCTATAACCAAGCAAACAAGAAAAGAATGCAAGGAGAAAAGGAATTAGTTAATCCCTTTAATTCCTTCTCGAATATTTTCATAAGGTCTCGTTATCTATCAACAATTATAAAATATGAAATATTTAATATTTTGTATATTTTATATTCCCTGACTTTCACCGGCGTGGCCGGGACTGTACCTTTTATTTTATTTTATTTTATTTTACCATTTACTTCGTACACTACAACTTAGCCTGGCACGTTTCTTACAGCACCGCCTCGCTTCGAGGTTGACTAACCTGTACCTAACCTACATAAGTACCGCTCAACTTGTCAAATGCACCTCCATTTTTAATTCCTAAGCTTAATAGTTATTAGTTATTAAGGCTAAGGGGATAGTTAGCGCTGACCACCTCCCTTCTTTAGATAACCTCTCGCAGCTCTTGCCAATCAATTTCGTCATATTCCATTTATTACCGCTTCATTCGCTTCATTCGCTTCATTCGCTTCATTCGCTTCATTCGCTATATTTACATTACTCTCCGTCTTGACAAACAACGCAACCCCGAAACCATCTCAGTTGAGAACCCACAACTGAAGCGCTCCCTTCACCGCTAAGACAGCATCAACCGGGGCAACCTGCCAGGCCACCTGTCGACCCCATTAAACAAAGAAACGCGGTCATAATCATATACCGTTGTCGACTCTAACTTATTTTCCACGTGAGACTATCGCAGCGACTAAAGTCCTACCCGTTCACGAATCCTTAGAGAAAAAAAGAATGTGCCATTGAGGGACAACCATCGCGGATCACATATGCGCCCTGTCGCCCTATAAGTCAATAATTACCACTAGCCAACCCACGTATTCCCAATCGCGTTGGCTCTCAGACCAACGCGATCTTTATACATGATGGGGGCATGCATGAGCTCCAATAAGGAGGAAGAGGAGCAAAAGAAACGGAGTCAGGCTATAGACCGCGCACTCGATGAGGACTCGAAGAGACTAAGACGAGAATGCAAGATTCTTCTGCTGGGTAAGCCCGTCCCCATTTAGTCATTGATGCCCCCCTCGTGGTCCATGGTACTGACAAGATCCATTCGCCAGGATCCGGTGAGAGCGGAAAATCGACAATTGTCAAGCAGATGAAGATAATACACTTAAAAGGCTACTCGGAAGATGAACTATTCAACTACCGTGCCACGGTCTTTAAAAACCTGATCGAATGCGCCAAAGCCGTTATTATCGCGATGGACCAATTCAATATCGAAGCGAGCAGCGAGGAAACCAAAGAGCACTGCGACTACTTACTAGGATATACAGTTGAATCGGGCCCCTCAGCACATATCGAACCGAAGGTTGCGACGGCAGTACAAGCCTTATGGCACGATCCGTGCATCGAGCGACTCATGCAGCACGCCACAGAATTCTATTTGATGGACTCAGCCGAGTAGTAAGCAAAGAGGCCAGTACGGTTCGGTTATGTCTTACTTACCACTTCTGTAGTTTCTTCGACGAAGTATCGCGAATTTGCGCCCAGGATTACCTGCCGAATGAAATGGATGTCCTCCGCGCGCGGACGAAGACGACCGGTATCTACGAGACCCGATTCCAGATGGGAGCACTCAGTATCCAGTAAGAATTCCGGAATAACGCTTCTGATATGGTACGGATCCTAACTCTGCGTTTTTAGTATGTTCGATGTTGGTGGACAGAGGAGTGAGCGTAAGAAGTGGATACATTGCTTCGAGAATGTGACGTCCATCATATTCTGCGTGGCGCTGAGCGAGTACGATCAAGTGCTGCTTGAAGAAAGTAGCCAGGTATTTCTTGAAAAAGCGTCCGAAGGCCCGACTATTTCAGCTAACGTTACGTAGAATCGAATGATGGAAAGCCTGTTGCTATTTGACTCGGTTGTCAACTCGAGATGGTTCATGAGAACGAGCATAATACTGTTCCTGAACAAGGTTGACATATTCAAGGTCAAGCTTCCCAGATCGCCCCTGGGTAACTATTTCCCCGATTACTCAGGGGGCAACGATGTGAACAAAGCTGCAAAGTACCTGCTATGGAGATTCAACCAGGTTAATAGAGCTCACCTAAATTTATATCCTCAGTAAGTCCAAGCGTCCAGATGAAAAAATGAAAAAAAACTTGGTTTCTAGTTGCTGACTTTCGTATTTAGCTTAACCCAGGCAACAGACACATCCAATATTCGGTTGGTATTCGCGGCAGTGAAGGAAACGATACTTAATAATGCGCTTAAGGACTCTGGCATCTTGTGATTTCGTCTTTTAAATCGGTTATGACTTACCGGGGCTTAGGTTATACCCCTAAGAGTAAGAACCGCAAAAGCATTGGGCAGGAGTTTTAGGCAGGGAACCGCACATATTTCTTTTGTTTTTGTGTTTTCTTGCAAGGCGTCAGGGGCCTCGACAATCTCACTGGTTTTTAATATGTTTTCGGCATATGGGAATGACGTGGAATGGCAGGCAGAAAAATACCGACCGCAAGAGTCCGGCGAGAGGTGGTTTTTGTTCATTTCTACTTAGAAGAAGAGGAAGAAGCGGCCCGATGCTTGACAGGCACCACCATTACATACAACATCCGACATAGGATCGACGACGGGATAGGGAGATGCCGAAGGTATTCGTATAGACGAGTCTAGACTGCATAGGCGCTGGGAACAAAGTTGGTAGCTCATAGTCGGGCGACGTCCCATGAGATAGTTACTAGTAGATACCCCCTTCCGTCAGGTATTCATGGAATAAGTCAACAAATAGCATCTAAACGATGCGAAGTGCATTAAAGCCAATAGAAAAAAAGTCATGAATGCATTACGTTGTTTTATGTATGATAGTCGTGTCAAATGTTGATTCGCATCCTTTCACATACCCCCTTCTATTTCCTTTTTATAACCATGTAGTTTAACGCAAATATTTTAAACATAGGTAGATACCGAAGAGTAGAACGTACTAATATATAAAATATACCACAAACTAGAAAACACGATTCAAGAATCAGTATAGTTAGTAGAACACTTCATGTAACCTTATTATTATCCCTATAAAAGTTTTAGTACACTGAAAACCAAAAGTACTACCCGCGTATACCGTCCCAATCATATTACCCTATATATTACCCTATATATTGCCCTATCAGAATCGCAACTCAACGACATATACATAGGGTTTTGCTTTCCGTTTTTGAAGCCTTAAAATGCAAGGATTTCGTATCACATGCATGTAATATCTTCTCTATGTATGTAAATCATCAATGCCAAGAAAAACACTATAGCGTATGAATCCAATTATTAATAGCCCAAAACTACAAGGGCCGCCGGGGGGGGGGTCTCTAAAACCGAGGCGGGGTTATGGATCTAGAACATCCAGAACTTATAAGGGAGAGTCTCGATGGGCTTTGCTATGATTATTATTGACGTTCTTTGCGCACATCTCGGCAATGGGAAAGGAGAAACCGGGGAAGGAGTGTATGTATGACTTATGTTGCGATGGCGCTGTAGGTACCTCCTATCCTATGTATGGAGGATGGCCGTTTCAGTCAGACGACCTTGTTGTGAGAGGTAGCATCTACAAGCGTTATGACATAGCCGTCTCGAAGATGCAGCAAGATATCCATGTAGGTTGCTTGACGAGGATGTATTATGATGCAGATGCTAGGTCAGGTGCGCTACTGCTAACAGAGCCGCCGTCTGCGAATCTATAACCGTGGAGGTTCGGATATTGTCCTCCAGCCGCATATCCTAGTCGTCGTTGGGTGGGAGATTTTGATACTCCAATGTCGACGAAGAGGGGGGGTAATACTAGCTAGGTTAAGCGCTCCACGTTAGTATACCACGCCCATCTAATGTGCCCAAGTGATACAGGAGAACTGGGTGTTTAGTTAACAGTATAACGAGTTATATCTCCCCAGAAATTGTCTTGTACTCTCTATGGAAAACAAGTAGTTCTCGAGTTCAGCTAGTTAGTTAATGTTAACTACCTAGGTATACTAATTCATAACCGTTGGCTAGTACTACGTTAGCTGACAGCTCTAGACTTACAAGAGTGGCTCTAATCGTACATACTAAGGTAGCATACCTCTCCGCACTATCCGTAGAGCTCCATCCATCCATCCATCCACTCAACTCTCCCTATCCGCATATCAGTTCTCTAATAAGACAGAATATAATGATTGGGAGCTGTCAGGTTATAACTTATACATTAGGTACTACATAGAGGTAGGCAAATTCCTACGGCTACCGCTTTTGCCCATTGATTACGGCTCTATACCTCTACAGCATAGTGTCTGCAGCTTCCACGGGCTTCCCTTCGTCATCGTGCCTTAGCTGTGGCATGATTTCTTCTGGGAACTCTTCCCCCCTGGTAACTCAGTATCCACCATCGCTCCGATTCTTCATAAATGTCATCGGCCATGTGTCCCCTTTATTTGCCTTGATGCCCGCAATTTCTTTTTCCTTTGGCTGCCTCCTGAACTTTTCCTCTTTACTTTCGTTCTTACTCCGTTCGTGGGATAGGAAGCGTTGTCGTGCTACGGGAGAGGATATCGACCGTATAAGTACCCCGCGGTGATCGACATCGGACCAGGAACCAGAGCTCTCTACTGTCACAAAGAGCGAGCTCCAATCCCCATCGATTAACCCCGCCCCCTCATTCCATCATCGACCATCCTTGTCGTTAGCTCCTCTCTTAGATCTACCTAGGTATGTTGAGTATTGTCGTGCCAACTAACTAGTCTTTAATCGTTCGTCTACTTGTAATAGAGGATGACAGTTGATCTTCTTTCTTTCTAATTACCGAGTCTCAGCTTTTCCGTGAATTCTAGCTATTTTATCCTCTCTCAGGGGGGTAGCTTCGAACTATAAGCTCAAAGTTCCAACATGGCGTCGGGTCTACCAACCAGGGAGCGCCGCCCCTCCACAGCCGCCCCTATTGTCGACATAGTCGGTTCTGTAGGACCCGCGGGCATCTCTCGTCCGAAACATAAGCGTACTTTCACGGGGTTTGGAGCCAACGAGATCAAGACCGTAGAAGGTTCGTATAAGTCATGCTTTCCTCTGGTGGCTTCGATCATTTCCTAAAGGGACCACCTCCTTATCATTATAATCAAGACCACTTGCTAACCCCTATTCTCCTCTTGTAGCGGCGATCCCCGAGCCTCAACGTGCGACATGGACTAAGCACCAATTCAATGGCTTCAAGACGAAGGATGAGTTTGAGAAGGAGGTTGTTCGCCATGTCGAGACAACCTTGGCTCGTAGCATGTTCAACTGCGACGAGTCGGCTGCTTATTCGGCTACAAGCTTAGCGTTCCGCGATCGCTTAGTTAAGGAGTGGAACAAGACTCAGCAGCGCCAGACCTTCACGGATAGCAAGCGTGTCTATTATCTGAGTTTAGAGTTCTTGATGGGTCGTGCTCTGGACAATGCTATGCTCAATGTTGGCGCCAAGTCCACTGCCAAAGGTATAGCATAGCCAACTTCATTCTGTTTAATCGGGTAGTTAACAGGTAGCTAACTCTGCTGTAGAGGGTCTTGACGAACTTGGATTTCGTATCGAAGACATCATTGGCCAAGAACACGATGCCGCATTGGGCAATGGTGGACTCGGACGACTTGCGGCTTGCTTTCTCGACAGTCTCGCCTCCTTGAACTATCCCGCCTGGGGTTACGGCTTAAGATATCGCTACGGTATTTTTAAGCAGGAGATTATCGACGGATACCAAGTTGAGGTCCCTGATTACTGGCTCGACTTCAACCCGTGGGAATTTCCCAGGCACGATGTCACAGTCGACGTGAGTTACTACTACTATCTGATGGCTAGTCTATATTTTTACATGACGTTACCTAACATAAAATATAGATCCAATTCTACGGCATTGTTCGCAAGGCCCAGGACGAAAATGGAAAGACGGTGGCTTTCTGGGAAGGCGGCGATTTCGTCACAGCTGTGGCCTATGATGTACCAATTCCTGGCTATGACACGCCCTCTACCAATAACTTGCGACTGTGGTCTAGCAAGGCCGCTAGTGGTGAATTCGACTTCCAGAAGTTCAACAACGGAGAGTACGAGAGCTCAGTAGCAGACCAACAGAGAGCAGAGACCATCAGTGCCGTTTTGTATCCGAACGACAATCTTGACCGTGGAAAGGAGCTTCGCCTTAAGCAACAGTACTTCTGGGTTGCAGCCTCGCTCTACGATATCGTCCGCCGATTCAAGAAGACGAAGCGTGCCTGGAGTGCATTCCCCGATCAGGTTGCAATCCAGCTCAACGATACCCACCCAACACTAGCCATTGTAGAGCTCCAGCGAATACTGGTAGACGTGGAAGGCCTCGAATGGGATGAGGCCTGGCAGATAGTCACATCAACCGTGAGCATCCCCTGGCAATTAGCTATACCTAGCTCTATCTTACTAACTTGGTTTTAGTTTGGCTACACGAATCACACAGTCTTGCCCGAGGCTCTGGAGAAATGGCCCGTAGGCCTAGTACAACATCTTCTGCCTCGCCATCTTCAGATCATATATGACATCAACCTTTTCTTCTTGCAGAGCGTAGAAAAGAAATTCCCGGATGACCGGGACATACTGAGCCGGGTTTCGATCATTGAAGAATCCCAGCCAAAGATGGTCCGCATGGCATTCTTAGCCGTCGTTGGTTCTCATAAGGTCAACGGCGTTGCCGAACTGCATTCAGACCTCATCCAGACGACCATCTTCAAGGACTTTGTCAACATATTCGGCGCTGACAAATTTACCAACGTCACAAACGGTATCACGCCCCGGCGGTGGTTGCATCAAGCGAACCCCCGACTTTCGGAATTGATCTCTAGTAAAGTTGGCGGTCTCGATTTCCTGAAAGACCTCACGCTCCTCAATAAGCTAGAGACGTTTGTGAACGACAAAGCGTTTAGAAAGGAATGGGCCGAGATTAAATATGCCAACAAGGTCCGGCTTGCGAAGTACATCAAGAGCACCACAGGCGTTACGGTAAACCCGTCGTCTCTGTTTGACGTCCAGGTCAAGCGCATCCACGAGTATAAGCGACAGCAGCTGAACATATTTGGTGTCATATATCGGTACCTGAAGCTCAAGGCCTTAAGCCCCGAAGAGAGGAAGAAGCAGCTACCTCGTGTCTCGATCTTCGGTGGAAAGGCAGCACCTGGCTACTGGATGGCAAAACAGATTATCCACCTCATCAACAGCGTCGGTGCTGTCGTCAACAAGGACCCCGATATTGGTGACCTCCTAAAGGTCATCTTCTTGGAAGACTACAACGTTAGCAAAGCAGAGATGATTACCCCTGCTTCCGACCTTAGCGAGCACATCTCAACTGCTGGCACAGAGTGAGTCCCAGACTATAGGTTGGAATAAGTCAGCAATTAACACACTGATAGGGCGTCCGGAACCAGCAACATGAAGTTTGTGCTGAACGGCGGTTTAATTATCGGGACATGCGATGGAGCCAACGTAAGTCATCTGCAATTTTCTTATTGCGGTTTGGAAACTCACGAATATCAGATCGAGATCACCCGAGAAATCGGCCAAGAAAACATCTTCCTCTTCGGAACCCTATCCGAGGACGTAGAGGACCTGCGCCACGCGCACACGTATGGCACGCACGCAATCGATTCTGGCCTGAACGAGGTGTTCGAGGCTATTAAGAGCGGCAAGTTTGGCGACTCTAACGACTTCAATGCGCTGATCTCGGCCGTTCGCGACCATGGTGACTACTATCTAGTGTCGGATGATTTCCAATCGTATATCGATACGCAGAGGATGGTAGACGACGAATACCGCAACCAGGACGAGTGGGTTTCCAAGTGCATCCGTAGCGTCGCTAGGATGGGCTTCTTCAGCTCGGACAGGTGCATTAACGAGTACGCCGAGGGCATCTGGAATGTCGAGCCCCTCTCTGTATAAGTCCCTTCTTCGAAGGCATGTCATCCACGCGTGGTCATGTAGGGGCTCCGACGCTTAGGAATTGCATATAGTGATTACCTTCCCCAGGGTGAAAATGCGTATCGTAAGGAATTTTTTGTAGCGGACGGCCCAGTAGAAATAGGGGCTACGATTGTGATAGGAAGGATAATGATGAATACCTATCATTCCAAGTATCGACTACGCAAGTCATATTTTCTTACATCCTGCTTTCTAACGTGATGGATGTATATGTACGGGCTCGGAGAAGTCGATATGTCATCTAACAGTGTCACTGACAGACATCATCCCGATAACGCCGGCACTGGGCGACTCCCGTCGGTGCCAGGTATAGTACTTGTTAGTAACCTAGTCTATGATGGCTCGTACGTATAAAGGGGTCTAATGTCTGATGGGTAAGCCAAAGACCCAGATCTAGAAGTCTAACCTAACTAGAAGATTGGTGTTGTGCCCCACGAGGAATATGCCGGCAGTGATGTCACCGAGCATGGTGTCTCTGCGCCTAGACATACAGTGTAGGGTGGTTCATCGTGTAGATGGAGAAGGGCTATGCTGGTATGAGACGGAAGTGCGTAATGTTTGGTCTTGTCTCGCGGGGTCCGGGGTGGGAAAAGGTACGACGTGTTTCCCATCCCGTCGATAGTGACGGGCTGGTGGACTACGAAAGGTGTACGTAGCAGATTAGCCTACCGTTTGATTGACATCGCATGATCCCCTAGACGATCCCCCAGCCTTACAAGAGAATTGATCGTCAGGGTCCAGTCGTTTATCTAGGAAACTTTCTCAGGGTCCAACCTCGAAGGGTAGGTAGGTAACTATGACGATATCTCTAGGTTAGCTAGTTAAAGTTCTTTCTTTTTTTCTTGCTTACGAAAAGACACTTATTCTCGTACGATATGACCAAATATCTTGGGCTTTCTATACAAGACAGCGTTGTTTGTTATGCAGTGATAAATATGTCATAAGTACCTAACCTAACCTAATGTTTGGTGTATGCGCAATAGGTTAGGTACGTAGGTACTTAACTAAGTGAGTTAGGTAAGTGTCCATATGCCAGTTCCTCGTTCTTGGAGAATGACGTCAATAAATCTTATACTATTACCCTCAGGCCTAGCCTAGGGTAGTTAGCGGATTTTCTTATCTTATCCTAGGTAATAAATCAGCACCTCATCTGGTAAAGTTCAAGCCCCAAGTTCTACCAAATATAATAGTTACCTTAGGTAGGTAGGTACACAACGTATAACTGATGGAGCGAATGCTCCGGGTCTGCATGTCCAATACTCGTCCTTCCCCAGCTCCCGGAATTCCTTTTCATATGGGGATGTCTTGACTTCCGGTTTTTTTGTTGGCCCGGTCTGTTCTCCAATTGAGAGTAAGAAAATCGACATACGTCATTGCACGTAGTTGTGCCCTGGCGCCGTCTCTCCATTTCTAACTCCTCCCCCTCCTCCTCCACTGTACCCTATGTAGGACTTACCTACCTAATCAGGACGGTGAGCCGAGACGCCTTTGGCCGGATCGTGAGTAACCGTCTTTTAGCACGACCAACTCCACAAGATTAGGTACCTCCATTGGTGTGTAATTTTTGTAGACCGCTTCGTTACCTAAGGATCTCAGGTGCTAGCGCTGCTGGAAAACGGGTCACAAGCCCTCTTTTGCGCTTTGGGGTTAGTGCCCTATAGACCCTATAGGGATGTTATAGGCCATACGGCGGACGAAGGTTGAGGCTGACGGGATACATGCATCGGCGATGGTACGCGTAGAATTCGATTGTCGGATACCTTGCGAAGGCCTGCCATGCATACGGTCGGATCCTGAAGATCATTCTACTAGGCCTTTCTGCGTCGCTCTTCGTTAAAGACCCAAGGGGCTTATTAGCATAAATCGCATTAACAACTTCTTTTTATTGCGGTGTTACTACTATGGATATTACTATTAAGTAGGATCAAGTTGCCGACTGAAGCATATATTGGATGCATATCTACATCCTAGGAACATTATGTGTATGTCTAATCTAGGATGCAACTTGCTTACCTGGGGATTTTGCGCCTATACAAAATTGAGGGGCAGCGGAGGAATAACAGATAAATATGTAGACATGACGTCATTCGTCTCTAAGAGGAGAACAACGTACACCTGATTGGTTGCCGGTGCTGGTTTCGGAGCAGGCATCTTTTATTCTCTATCGAGGTGCCTTCGTCGAGCTATGATTCGGAAGATAGACTTGTACGTGATACGTGATGGCATTCCGTTGAATTACCCCCCTAGCCGTCCTCGGAATCGGCAGAGCGATGGAAGGGGGCGGAAGTATTGGATCCTCTGCCGGCCAACCCAGTCTCGTCGGCGTTATTAGCCTACCATTAGGGTGACACTCACCAACGCAAAGCAGTACTGCATATATGCATCTTCAACTCAACAGATCCCCTACTCGATGAAGCAAGTTGAAGCAAATTATGGGCCAAAACAACTTGTCTGCTAGCTGTTGTCATAAATTCGACAAATAACCTTGCGAGCTCGGGCAACACCAGATAGAAAGATAGGTATCAATACAATCTGTAGGTCCTATCATAAATGCAACTCACGAATTAAGAGCCTCATGCTGTGCCGCCTCAGGCTCGACAACTCTTAAGCATTGGTCTCTTATCTCTGGAGGGAACAATACAATATGGTAGGTTAAATCGTTATTGAAACGAGACTTAAAGCCCTTGCTTCCCAGTTTTATTACCTACCTACCTACCTACAGTAGATACCTAAGTACCTAATGTACATTATATGATACCTTAGGTTAGGTAGTTATGTATACATACCTACCTACATATATAATCGCAACAGTTAGGTAGCTTTTAGGTAACGGGCCGATCCTCGTGTAACACTTACTGAGACCCGGTCGGCACCTCATTCTTCCCACCACTTCAAGGATTTATATTGTCGAGCGCTACCTATCAACGGATGCCAGCAGAGATCGACACTCTATTTTTCCCACCACGTGCGGTTAGGTTCGCATTTAGAATATTAGGACAGTCTTGGGACGGCATTTCTGTCAAATCCCATCCTTAAAAGGGTTTTCTTCTTTTTTTTCTTTGTATAATCCATGCAAAGTTTGGGGGGTGAGCGCGGTTGATCTTGTTACTCTGCTGTCTCTGCTGTTTCTGTTACTATTCATAGATAATAGGTATACATATAACCTAGAACTACATATCTATACATATATGCACTGGTATCTTTTAGTCCCTATTATTACATAAGAATACAACATGTCAACTGCCATGTTGGGGCACCGGCTGCAAGTTAGATACATGAGGTATCAGAGATGGGAAACATCAGATAGGTAGTCGTGCATCATGCTAACCGGCATGGCATGGCATCGTCTCTTCGCATGATTGACTGATTATATCCTATATCTGATATTATCGTACTATCGCTAAACTGAGCCTAGTTGACATTTTTCCACGGACGTTGCAACACAACAACGACAACATCATAAAATTAATAACGCATTTGCGATTGGAGGCTCTCGGTTTTGAAAACGACACCTGTTTATAATGTTGCTAGGTTATACGATACGACTAAATCTGTGTGGTTATGGTATCTACATACTTGAAATCATGTATGAATGTACCTTACTATACCTTATCAAGGTACATGTAGTTTCTTTTATAAGTGGGTCTAACTTCTTCTACCTCTACATTACATGTACCTAACTAATGTAGTGATCAAGCACATTATGTATGTGCATTGTAAGGGTAGAGCGACATATTGGAACTCACACTCACCCTGACTTCCTAGGTAACCTTCAATACCTCTTCTACCTACGTCTGTTTAGTACATGTACTTCTTCGACAGGCTAAGCCTATACCTACTAGTAGAGGTTTTATATGTATAGTACTTTGTAGTTAACTACCTAGGTACCTATTATTATACTACATGTATGTAAATTCTTTCGCATAGCATCAGCCACTTGTCACAACTTGCCCGCGAATGGCTAGGGGTACCCTTAATAGGTGGATAGCGTACCTAACATACTAACCTACATGGTAGCGTTACTTGCTAAGAGGTAAAAGGTCTAGCATTTTTGTTTCTTATTTTTACATAGAAATTCTCGATCGCGATCGCCACTCGAAAAGGTGTCTTCGAATCGCCGTTCCAGCGTGCTCCTAAAACCTTATCCACAGCACAGCCCAACTCTCTCAACTGGAAAATCCTGTTCTTTCATCCCACTTTTCCCATCTATCAACGGCATTTCAAGATTGCCATTCATTTCAACTTGGCCTTCTATACCTTTTTTCTATTCACACCCTTCAACATTAGAACAGTAAGAAAAAGAAGAAGAAGAAGAAGAGAAGAAAAAGAATTAACAGAACGGAAAGGTCGTTAAACTCTATATTTGTCTACGCCACGCTTAACCCCCTACTTACCTACCAACCTACCAACCTACCAACCTACCAACTTGTACAGTAAACTTACCTAACTGTACACGGTTATCCGGATTTCTGCCCCTCGTTCCCCCCCCTCGTTTTGATAGCTGACAACGCTCCGTCGTCTCACCTTTATTTTTTATTTTTTTTTGATCGCCGTCCAAACTTTCTCACCACCCCGCCTCCTATAATAAACTATAGCTCGTTATTCGCCATGGCCGAATTCGTACGAGCTCAGATCTTCGGAACGACGTTCGAGATCACTTCTAGGTATGCCGGCTTTTCACAGCGCCGTCTACCAACCGACTCCGAATTGACATAATACTCTACAACAGATACTCGGACCTGCAGCCTGTGGGCATGGGTGCTTTTGGTCTGGTCTGGTACGTCATATCCTTGCCCAACTACTACTACGGCTACCACTGCGCCGAATAGTTTCGAATATAGAACCTAACGACTAACCAAATTTGAAATTGTCCTCATGTAGCTCCGCGAAAGATCAGCTCACAAACCAAAATGTCGCTGTCAAGAAGATTATGAAGCCCTTTAGCACGCCCGTCCTAGCTAAGAGAACATATCGAGAGTTAAAGCTACTAAAACACCTCAGACACGAAAATGTTAGTTCAAGTTGTCTCCCTAGAGGAGATTTATATCATTACTCTTTACATCATTACTCACGCCAGTCTCTAGGTTATTTCCCTCAACGATATCTTCATCTCGCCCCTTGAAGACATGTATGCAAGCCCAGAACAGAGCCTAAAATCTACTATAATATGCTAACACGCTTACCAGCTACTTCGTCACAGAACTGCTTGGGACAGATTTGCACCGACTCCTCACGTCGAGACCTCTAGAAAAGCAGTTCATCCAATATTTCCTCTACCAAATCATGGTGCGTGTACCCTTTTCGCGTTTGGCGGGTAACAGAGGGTAAAAGACTAATAGGTATAAAAAAAATCTAGCGAGGTCTGAAGTATGTCCATTCCGCTGGCGTCGTCCATCGCGATCTGAAACCTAGCAATATATTGGTCAACGAGAACTGCGATTTGAAGATTTGCGATTTTGGCCTTGCTCGAGTCCAGGACCCCCAGATGACCGGATATGTCTCGACAAGATATTACCGCGCCCCGGAGATTATGCTCACCTGGCAGAAATACGACGTGGAAGTCGATATCTGGAGTGCAGGGTGCATTTTCGCCGAAATGCTCGAGGGGAAACCGTTATTCCCCGGAAAGGACCACGTCAATCAGTTCTCCATCATCACCGAGCTGCTCGGTACTCCTCCGGATGATGTTATTAACACAATTGCTAGCGAGAACGTATGTCGGCGCTTCTATCGTTTGGCGACTTCTACTGACTCGGAGTGTAGACATTGAGATTTGTCAAGTCTTTACCAAAACGAGAACGACAACCTCTTAAGAACAAGTTCAAGAACGCTGACCCAGCAGGTTTGTTTTCAAAGTCTATGCTCTATTTTGTAAACATTGCTGACAGTTGGGTAGCTGTTGATCTACTTGAACGTATGCTAGTATTCGACCCTAAGAAGCGAATCACTGCAGCCGACGCGCTAGCACACGAGTACCTTGCTCCTTACCACGACCCCACTGACGAGCCTGTCGCTGAGGAGAAATTCGACTGGAGTTTTAACGATGCTGATTTACCTGTAGACACTTGGAAGATCATGATGTGAGTATTTTTATGACTCCTGGATTAGCATTAGTCTAGTCGAAACCACACATGAGGCGTCGATGACTAACAATTTCGAGGCAACAGGTACTCGGAGATTCTTGACTATCATAACATGGAGTCAAGCACGGCCGGATTCGAGGATCATTTCAACGGCCAATAGAGAGCGTTGCAGTTCTCAGAGCGGTTCTACAGGCGGCAAGCATAGTCTACGGCGACGATCCTACGGTTAAAGGTAATCTGCATACAACCCCAGACACAACCCCAGACACGAATCATGTTCTGGCGTTTCGAGACAGTATTATTGGCTTGGACTACGCCATGAAAAATCTCCTTCGAGGGAGAGAGGAGACTTGCCATCAGCGAGGAGTATAAGAAATACGGGAATATATGAGGATATGCATTTGGCTGATGATGGACAATGAGCAGCGAGGCTCTACGCGGCGGTAATATAAAGCGTAACAAGGGGGCCAAGGGGAGGGCACACGCGCTAGCTGTGGGGTGGACATTCTCCTTTTCTCGGGATTGGACATGTGAGGGAGGGGAGAATGCGCAAGCTTACAGCGTCGAAAGCAATTTTGATGCCGCAAAGCAACGAAGTAACAATGAAGCATTCGAAGGCGCGAGGAACAGTTAGCCAGGAGCTTGGGCCTTTTTTTTTTTTTTTTTTTTCCAAATCAATAAGAGACAGACCGACCTTTTTTCGAATATAAGGCCGAACGAATAGATACTCCCGGTATGGATATGATAAAAGGGATAAAATAATAGAAAGCTTTAGCCCCAACGTAAATATATCGGCTTTATCGGTGATGTTACATGATGTGATGGCTTGTTTTAGATGGGGTGTTTCTTAGGGGTATATTGAGGTCTCTGAAAAAGAGAAGGGGTTTCTGTGTAAGCCGTTTTGTACGGTGACGGTAAGACGGTTATGTCTAGGTTTATGATAAAGAGGATACGGGATTAGATGGTAGTACATGATAATAGGTGGTTTGGTGGTGTATATCTACTCGGAAGGGTCTTGTGAATTGGGAATTAAGGTGGAACGAGGAGGACCTACTGGCTCGGTTTGATTTGACGGATTGCTTGCGGGTCTCGGTGGTAGGTGATGTTTCTGGGAGGAAGTCGTCGATAGGGGATGTATATAGATGAATGGTCTTGGCTTTGGGGGGACTTGGTTGAGTGGCTTTCCCTGACAGGGCAGTGAAGGGCTATCTGATCATTTTCGTGTAGAATAAAGCCGTTGCCGGTTTAAGGGTGGGCTGTGAAGCGTGTTACTAGACACTGACTACATGTTCTTGGTATCGAAACTATAGGCAAGTAGAGTCCAATGATGCTTAGGAGTACTAGAAATTTGGATAGCTTCACCGAGGATGCATATTCTACTCTGGCCTTGTGTATCGACGAAAAGATTCAGCTCGGGGGGAATATATGATTATTATATTGATCAAAACTCAACGAAAGTGTTTCATCCGCCTACTATAATAGCAGCTATGATGACATGTGAGTGTCAAATTAATAATACTTCGAAGTCTACTCTAATGAAAATGTACTGTATCATGTTGCCCATTATTCAGATTGGTTAGCACGTTCTACACCCTTACGGCAACCGACTCTAGCGTTATACACATAGTAACGATCTTAATCCCATGGAATACGTCATAAAACGTAGCGCTCATGTCTTCATTAAAATCAGGCACACCAATGTTAAGGCTACCAGATTAGGAAACAGTCAAGGCCAGGATATGCATCAGATTGGCCTATTTTAGGGAGGTAAAGGAGTAAAAGGGAGAGATCCCCTCACCAAAGCTGGGGGATCTATTCCCGAGGTAGTACTTGAGCTCATATCGGTTGTGTCTGACTGCCGTATGTGATGCAAGGATGTATATATTCAATGCTGATATCCGGATCCAGTTCCTGTCTCCTTTACTGGCGTATTCGTCATTGGCCCTCCATGTGATCAGAACCGTTACTCAAGAGATTCTCGACGGCTAACTAAGACGAAATCTCAAGCTGCATATCCGGGCTTTGTGATGTAATCTGGTGAAAACACGATCTTTAGCTGAGGGGTGTCTTGTTTTAGCGTGGGGGTGGAAGGAAAAGGGGGCGTGGGCCGCTAGCATATCCCCTCTGATAATGAGGTAGATATTCAGTAGAGAATTTAAACTACAATGGCGGTTATAGCATCTCCGGTTTGAGGTACGTTATACACAAGCTAACTAGTACCTGAAGAAATTAAAAGGCATAGTGAACGTTTGCCTGTACTTGGGCCAAGGCATCAAAACATAGGAGCCTGAGTACAACGATGTATGGATATGCTACGTACCTAATTAAGATTCAGGAGAGTGTTGAGAGAATTCTACTCTACTACTATAAAATTATACATATACATGGTATATTAGAACCAGACGACTCAATAGACTAAAGGTCGTAGACGTAGGGATTCGAAGGTTAGAGAGCGGACTGCATTAATTGCCAGTATAGCTAACGTTCAACTTGATCCTATCTACTGGGTATATCTATAGATGAATTACTAGTTTAGCTACTAGTATGAAAGTAGCTCTTATAACACGATAGTTATATATAGTACGTCAAGTAGGCAGTTATCGTGTTGTCGCTTCATAGGAACAAGCTGTTCCCGTTCCCAATACCGAGGTATTCTTCTTTACTGACTATATTTCTATGGCGATTAATCTATTCTTGGATACCTGATCTGGTGATTATAACCTCTGTTAGTCTATGTTGGTCTAGCGATACCGCAGTTCCTAGTGGTTAAGCGAGCGCTTCCCACCCAGCACGTGTGAATATCTATGTGCATATTTGCCGCGAAGCAAAAAGTTCTTTTAGGTTCGGGATAAGCCGTGCTTCTATAACATATCCCAGATCGCCCAGGAAGAAGATTTCTGCTTCGAGTTTCGTGTTCTATCGGTGTTCTGGATTGAATTAAGCCTACATCGGGTTGACCTACCTATTCCGTGACCGACTCATTCTTGATTCCGTAATCGATATACATACGCCGGACGTTGGGTATATATAGCATCTGAAGAACCTGACCATGGTGTCGAATCACCTGGTCGTACACCTAGTTGTCTCAGACGACTTTTGACGCGGTCACCTAAACTGGAGTACACATTAGTAAATCCAGATATGGAAAAGACAAGGGGTGCGTATGACAAAAACGTCCATCGTCCAAGTGTGAGGAAAAGTCTTAGATACCTAGGTAGGTATGTATAAAGTTAGATCATACGGTTAGCTGTATATTAAAAGGTAGATATGTGCGGCAACGCCTGCATTGTAATAGACCTCCGTGGCTTTCTATCCACTTAATTACGGGATACCCCTAAACCGTACGACACCTCGGTGAAGACATGGACTCAGTCTTCAAGACGGTATGGTAAAGAATTGCTTAAGGCACAGTGTATATACCTCGAATCTTGGATGGATCGTTATACGGCCGTTACCTGGGGATAGCGACACTTGCGTGGTCACCGAATTCTAGATGATCCTTAATATTTCTAGAAAATCAATCTTAATCGGTTTAAAATTGGTCTGGCGGTCAGCCTCCAAAGACAATGTCACTATGGTCCCTGACTACGGGGGTGAGATACCGGCCTTACGCCAACTGCGATGGTTTCAGTCGGAGTAGGTAGGCAAGGCGTAGATTAGATACATTTCGACTCGGCCACATCGTTCGGCCGGTGCCAAGACCTGGGCTTTTCGATATATCATTTCCACAAAACCGTCGACTGCGTGCTTACGGGCTTCGGCATTCTTGTATATGAAAGATTCGCTACCAAAACTACCTTTTTAGACCTCGGACACCGGAAAGAAATGATGGCGTCAGAGATGCTCCTAAGCGGTCGTCATCGCTGCCTCGTTCGGATTTCATGCAGGAGGTTAGGAGGTGCCATAGGGGAAGATCTCTGCTACCCACGGGCGGTGGATGGACAGCCACCAAGATCTCATCCGTCCGAGCAGGGCTACGGTAGGAAAGGGGAACGTCTGTCGGGATGCCGATCATGAGCCTCACTCTAGACTCTATCCGCAAATCAGTTCCCGAGTCGTAACTGGACATAAGCCAGGCACGTGGAGTTACAGAATTTCCTCGACGTTATGCGGTTTGTCAGCGCTATTACTCGCCTTTCCTTGGCGGGGAGGCATATGCGATGGAACTGCAGACGGGCCCTGCTGGATATAATGCTGCCCCTAATGGGGGGCAAAACTGGTTATAGTAGGTGATAGCGATGTCCGTCGAATTACCTACTCCTGGCCTGGTGGAGTTGCAGCTATTATTAAATAGAAACTACCAGGAAATAGAAAACGAACGATACTTCTATAGCCGTTATGATAGACGAAAGAAACGGACGAACTTACTTACCCTCCACTACGGATTGTCCGATAATTCTTTTACGCCGAGACTAGAGAGCGTACCTATCGTGGCCTGGCTTTACTTGTCCGACCTTCCCACCCAGCTGCCACCTCAAACTTGGTGTGCTGAGCTGTCTATCATGCACTCCAGTTTTTTCTCTGTGCGACTCGTCCCCTTCCCCGACTATCCCTTTTCGTCGACCTGCAGTCGGACTCCCTGCTTACTTACCTGTGGCTGAAAGATTTGTCTCTCTTCTGTTTGCCTCTTACTACCGCTTCCGCCTACCCCCTTGACAGCACTAGCAAATCATCTTCGCGTCAGTTGATCAGCTGCCAAAACGGCCGGCTCGAGCAATGCATCTATACATATAGATCATAGGAGAATCCATAGCGGGAGCCCGGCAGGCAGGTCACCGACCTGGGGTTGGCTGGGATGTCGAGAGGAATTTGACCGAGCCGAATGGGCAATTCCGACGCTTCCGTGCGACTCTTCGTCAGCTTCCAGAAGCTTTCCCAAACGTGCCGCTGCGACACAACCCTCCACGGGAGTTTTTTCTGCCTTCTAGCTAAAAGTGAACACCTGCGGGGTTACTTGCAGGCCATACTATACTTGATTTATGCTATGGTTTTTGCGTAGATGTAACATAGCTTGCTTGTACCATGGCTCTCGTATTGCAGCGAGATGCGCGTAGTCGCCGCATCGATACCCGCCTCATCTATAAACACTGATCTTCTAACCATACATCCTTCCTTGTGGGTTGGTACGGGGACTACGGGTCTGAGCCCTGTCCAAGTCCTTGACTACCTACCTACCAACCTTGTCTGCCTAGCCAAATTATAAACGTCATTTTGATCCTGGGTTTCTTAGATTCTGGCCTAATTGGATGGCGAGACTAGATGGGGGTTCTGCGACCAAGTCTCTACATTCAAAGCTTTAGGGACGGTGTCAAGTTTCTAGATGATGTAAAGGAATAATGCGGCTATTGAGTTGCCAGCCGCTTGGAACCACTTCCTTGGTCCTTAAAACCAATACGATCACGCAAGCGTCCCACCAGTTTGGACCCTGAGCTTACCGAGCCCACGGCACGCCCTCTAGTTGATGACGGCAATGATCTAACGGTCTTAAGGTTTCGTGCTCTGCAATCTAAGTAATGATTGTAGAAAATGGGGGGCGCGGGGGGCAAAGTAAAGAGTCACTGTTAATGAATAGATATTTCCTAAGGTGTCAGCTGTTGGCGTAGTGGCTAGGCGGTTATGTCGTTGCTCACGATGTCCCTCTGCACGCTGGCAGGCGATGCTAGCGTCATCCAGCTGAAAAATGACCTTGACCGAGAACAGTTAAGGGTATATTATGACCAGGCTTGACCCCAGTTCGGAGGATATTAATGAGGTACCTACACACTAAAAGTCATCCATCAGTGATAC